GAGCGCTTGAATGCCGGCAATAAGGATAATAATCAGTATTACACTGCAATTACTTAATAACATCTTCAATCGGTGCAGGTGAACCAGACAATGAAGTTCAATCACCAAAAATGAATAGTGAGCGAGATAGAAGTGCCAATCTTGGGAAGCCAAACAATTAAGTGCCAACCACAAGAAGATAACGAATCTCAAATGCCATTCATCAGTCAAACAAATTTCAATTCGGTGAGCAAGCATTGATTAGATCATTACCGCCGACGATAGTTGGTTCCGCACTACTAGTCAAAGGCAATGGCACCCGCAAGAGAAAAATGTTCTTTCTACGTGAAAGTAAGACTTTCAAAGCTACCAAGGTAGTAGAGGCCAAGGCAGTGATAACGTATGAACAAGGACTTTCCGAAAGCCAGAGCATGTAAACATGCTATCAGATGTTTAATTCTAATAAATATTTTCCTCTTAAATTTCATTAGAGAAAATAATTATATAGAACAAAAACTTCACCATATTGAAATGAAAGGAGAATAATACATTTTTTCCATACCAAAAACGAAGAATACAAATGACCGGACACTACTAGAATGAAGATTATAAACCAACTGCAAATTATTAGAAATTCATATGATTATATATGAACTTCCCCAACTAGCTGGGAGAGAGTTTGATATTAGAAAGCTAAGAAGGTAGGAGATAAGAACGGTTATAGAAAGTAGGTTTTTAACAAATATGATGCATAGATAGTACATGACATCTCAATTCGTCGAGTAAACTGAAGGGTATAATGGCAGTGCCTATTTTAGAGAGAGCGAGAGTGATATTAGAAGTTATCTGTTGTTATAGTTTAAGCGGGAAGATTGTTACTCATTCAGCTAGGGTTAACTGACTGCATGAACTTTGTATAAATAGAGATAGCAGGCTGTGTATTTATTCACTCAGTTTTCAATGAATATTAGATCCTTCTTTTCTGTGAAACTCAACAGAGGCATTCAGAAGCACTTTGAAGTACACGGACTATGTACATGTAATATATGATTTAGAGGCATTCAGATAGCATAAGGGCATGGGGTAAGAACTTTCCCTGTAAACAAAGTAGAGGAGCATGCGGTAAAATCTTACAAGTGAAAGACTAGACCTGAGATACTTTCTTCAATAATATCCCCAATTACACTAAATATGCATGTGTTTAAGTGAAAACAATAGTTTAATTCTTTAAAACATGAAAACATGTCATTTTTCATAATCAGATATAAAAATACGGTAACTAGAGACCATGAAAAAAATATACAGTAAATCAGATATAAGAATTCAATGCATACGGAAAACCAAATATCATGTAGTTAAAATATTTAAAATCATCCGAATTCCAAAATAGTTTAGACAGATAGTTCAAAACAGTAATGCAACACCATCAGAAATACACAAGTATCGATCTATTAAGTCTGGTACGGAAGTACGATAGCATTCTATCGGGTCTACCTATCACGGTCGACGGAAGTGCTAGATCTTATGAGTCAGAAGAACTATATCAAAATCTTAGCAAAATAAATAATAACCTTTAATTAAAAATTTTACGGAAACCTACGAGTAGCTCCTAAAGAACTTGGATCGTATGAATCTATTGGACAGGAAGCGTCGGACCTAGTTGGCCCTCGATAAGGGGAATTACAAATACCTTCATAAAATTAGAATCTTAGCAAATCCATAATCAAATCCCGAATAACTATGCAAAAATGCTAGAAATACTAAGCATTTTCGATTAACTGGCTCATTTTAGGAGGTTTTCAGAAAAAGTCAACGCCGACCAACGGTCAAAGTAAACGTCGGTTAACGGCCAATGACAACAATTCTGTTCGATTGGATTTGGTTTGGTTCGCACCTATTCGATTCAGTTTAGATGGGCCGATCGAATTGGGTCACTTAGGGTTTTAGACTGGTCATTTTAGTACCTGTTGTTAAAACTTTAAGTATTAAAATGAAACAAAAAGTTAATAGCGGGGTACTGAAATGATACAAAAAGTTAACAACGGGTACTAAAATGAAATAAAAAGTAAACGTTATGCATGATTTTGAAAAAATTAAAAGTTTAAGTACTAAAACGGAACAAAAGTAATAGTTTAAGTACTAAACATACAATTTTCCCTAGTATATATTATTTTCCTTTTTAGGCTTGATACAAAAATAAGTGTTCAAATTATACCCAAATTTAAATTTGGTATCTAAAAAAATTTTCGTTAAAAATATGTGCTTAAAGTTTTTTCCATTACAAAGAACCGTTAAGTGATACTTGTCGTTCATATTTTTTTATTTTTTTAAATATGATATATTATTTAAAAATATATTTTAAAAAGGTTAAACCATGTGAATAATCTCTTTTGTTACCGATTTAGTCACCGATTTAAAAAATTAAAGGTACATGGTTCCTAACGTTATCAATCGGTTTAATTTTAGTCCCTTAATCGTGAACTTCTGTTAACCCTTTAACGAAAATATTGCACGGCAATTAAAAAACCACGTGTCTTCTTCTTCTTGCTTGACATAAAATTTAACGAAACTAATGGTAAGCTCACAATTCCACCGTTGGAAGTGGATGAATGGACCGAACCATTTTTCAGAAACATCATGGGGTGAGAGCAAAGCTATTATCTAGAAGAAACCCACATTTGTGACTACGCTTTTCTAATGGAATATCTCATCAGATCTACTGATGATGTGGACTTACTTGTTCGGAAAAGAATTATCATCAACCGGCTGGGCAGTCGCGGTGGTGACTTTATTCAACGACTTCTGCAAACATATTCCTCCCAAGGACAACAACCGTTACTCGGAGACTTTCAGGGACCTCAATGCTTACAATTCAATTCGACGCATGGTTGGACGTAGGGATGGCATGGGACCCGAACCTGACCTGATTGGGTCGGGTTTTAAAAAAAATGTGGTTCGGGTTGGATTTTTTAAATGTGATATTTAGGTCGGGTCTGGTTCGTGTTTAGGGTGAAATATACCAGATCCGACCATACCCAAAAAATATAATTTTATCTTATATATTTAGGTATAATTACAATAATACCCCTATATATATTATTTCTGTTTTTATTGAATAAAAATAGTATTTTTATTATTTCGGGTCTGGTCGGATTGAATTCGGATTTTATCTTAAAAAATTGGATCATGTTCGGGTTGGATAGAGACTATATATTTTTTAGGTCAGATTGAGTCGGGTGAAGGATGTAAAATTTTTAAGTCAAATCGAATTAACCAAAACCCGACCCATAACTAATCCCTAGTTGGATGGCAAAGCTCATACTATACTACTTTTCATCTTTGTGGAGTGTCCGCTACGCTTGCTAAGAAGAAGAAGAAGAAGAAAGACATGGTTTTTTTATTAAAATTTTTAATTGCCGAAAAAGCCCAACATTATTTGGGCTAATATTTTAATGGGCTAAAACATCGAGTTTAATGTATTAGATTTTGTTTTCTTCGGCAAATTTGATTAAAATAGTAATCTAATCCAATTAACTTTTGAAGATAACTTTCCGAAAACTATCACTACTTCGTTAGCTAAAATCCTTCAACAAACCCCTTTGATAAACAAAGCCTCCAAAAGGCTCGCACCTTGGACACACGTGTCCGAGTCTACTATAATGCATAGACACGAGACCTTTTTTAAATCCACGTGATCTATCGAAATGAAATTTACGACGATCAAATCTATTTTGTCTGTTAATTTCATTTCAGGTATGACTGCTCATTTTTACTCATATCACCCTTTTCTACCTTATTCATATTTTGCATATTTCTGATAAAGCATCCAAATATCAAATTACAGAAAATATATTTTTAATAAAAATATACATGAAAATACTTAAAAAATATAATAATTTTATATTTTTAGAGGATGGCTATCCCTGAATATTACTTGTCCCTACTCATTATAGTAAACATAAAACCAATTTAAGGGTCAATAAGCTCAGCTAGAAAAATGTACTGTAATTGAACTTATTGAATAACCTCTAAAGAAAAGTATTATTATCCCTAGAGATTCAAGATTCGAATAATTATATTTATAGGATATATGCATCATATATATATATATAAACTATGCATTTATTTATTTATTTATACATGCATGTATTTTATATTTATTTTTAATTTCTTGACTGTCAGAGATCTTTCACGGAAGCTGCTCTCAACCTGGCGTTGGGGGCAACCTACTATCCTACCTCCCCTTATCCCATTGCATATGAGAATAGGGTTTTGTTGTTGTTGTTGATATATATATATATATATATATATATATATATATATATAATTTTCCAATATCATTTAGATAATTAAATAGTCTGACTAATAAAATTTAAAGCTCGTAGATCAAATTGAAATCTAAGAGTAAATCATTAAATACCAAAAACTCTTAACAATTTGATAATAAACGTTTAAATGTCTTGCAGTTATTGGTGTTCAAATATTATTGTCTTTAATTAATTTATATTTAAATAATTTTATTTATGTGTATACATTATTTGAATTTAAAATTAAGATTTAAAATAGCAATTTACTATTGTTTTCCATCAACATAAAGTTGCATGTGGTGATGGGAGAATATAATTAATGCAATATTTTCTCATCTCATGATCCTATAGTCTCTAAGATTAATAGACTCCATGTTGTCCAAATTAATTTTGGTAAATTCTCGAATTGGAAAAATTGTTATAAATCAACTCATTCCAACTAGTATTTAAATCACAGTAAAAAAAATTAACCTAGGTGAGAAATGTTAAAACTTAGTGGTAATTAGACTAATGTAGCCTATAATGATTGCTTGGAGGATGGAACCATAATTATAAATACATAGAAATATATAAGTATATAGTTAATGTTAATTGTACGATTAAAGGAAGAAAAATATGAACTAAAGCACTTTCAATGGCCCCATTACTTGTCCTCTCAATTTAGCTCCCATTAGTGTGATCTTCATCTTCCTCAATCTTCTCTGCAATTTTCTTTTCTTTTCACCCTTTCTTCTTTGATTAGGTGAATACAATGATGTCAATCAACAAAGGGAAGGGAATAGCTGAAGGTTCTTCAATACCAGCTGGTGTAGGTGTTGGTGTTGATGCTGTTGGTGGTGGTGATAAGCAGAATCCGCCGCCGTTGAGCCGGTACGAGTCACAGAAGCGTCGGGACTGGAACACTTTTGGGCGGTACTTAAGAAGCCGAAGGCCTCCGGTCGGGTTTTCGCAGTTTAACGCGGATCATGTCCTCGAATTCCTTGGTTACCTCGACCAATTCGGTAAGACCAAGGTGCACTTACAAGGTTGCGTGTTCTTCGGGCAACCGGAACCGCAGGGGCCGTGTACGTGCCCGCTCAGACAAGCTTGGGGTAGCCTCGACTCTCTCATCGGTCGACTCCGGGCCGCTTACGAAGAGAATGGCGGGTTGCCTGAGACCAATCCTTTTGCCAGTTGTGCTATAAGGATTTACCTTCGTGAAGTGAGGGATTCCCAGGCTAAAGCTCGGGGGATTCCTTGCAAGAAGAAGAAGAGGAGGAGGAGGAATCCATTGAAGACTAATGAAGTTAGCTCAAGCTTCACCATTCAGCAGCCTTGATTCTCTTATGGTATGTAATTAATTCTCTTATTTTTCTTCATTAAAATTCTCGGTTAACAGTACAAGATCTGATATCCGCAACAACAAGCTTTGTCTTATACATGGATCTTTAATAAATGAAAATAATTGAATTTTAATATAATCAATAGATTAAGTAAGCTTTAATTGTTCCGTTAAGAAAATTATTACTCTAGGAAGAAGAACAGTTCTTTTTAATAAGCCTGTACAAAATTTGGACTTTTAGACCAAACATTTTGAAATTTTTTCCCATTAATATAAACCCTAGAGCTTCAAAACCCTAATTTTCTATGAACAGATGCAAAACTATTCTCCTTGATCATCACCCCTTTCATTCTCTCTCTCTCTCTCACACATGCAAAAATCTTAATAATTTTAATGGTTTTTATAAATATACTATATTTCCCATTTTCAAGCTTTGTTTTCACTCTAGTGAGTCCATGCTTTTTAAGGATTCTGCACTAGATTGTTCTCTCCATTAATGGACATAACATATATATATATATATATTTATATATATATTAATGTCTTCTTTACAATCTTAATATCAGGATTGAAGATTTCGTGACAGTAGGATAAACCCAAAATGCTTGTTCATCATCTTTGTTCTTTCGCAGCAGATAACATAAGCTAACACTAAGATATCCTACACTCAATATTTTATAAGCTATAATAGATTAAGATATATTGGATTTATATTAATATTAACTTGCCATTATGTGAATGTCCTTCTCTTTGGTGATAATTCTATTTGCAATCAACCAGAGAATTAGATTTCCTTTTGTCTGTATCAAAAAGTGCTAATTGTTTCTCCTCCTATTTTTATATATAACCCACAAATGCTTTGCAGAGAGTCCAAGTAGTATTAAAAATGCAAAAGCATCATAATTATGCCAAAAATCATTTCATTTTTTGTATTATTTCAGGGTCTTAAAATAAAATTCCAAGAGCTTGAATCAGTTTGCTACTAGTACTACAACATCATGCTAAAGCTCCAGCTTACTGGGAAATCAGCAATAATCATTTCCTCCTTGGATCAAGATATCGGTAAATAGCTAGCTAGTTCATGTTCATCAGCACTGTGTTTATATATATATATACATACATATATATATTCATATAAACTTCAGTTGAAGAAGGTAAGTTGTTTCTTCTTCTTCTTCTTCTTTTTATTTTATATTTCCTGTCTTTTTCAAGTTAGTTAATTTGTAGTGTTCTGTCCAACGCAGTCAAGTATGTTCCATGAACTGTTATTCTCCAGGTATTTGTATATTGGTGATGGAGATGAATTTAATAATTTTGTACTTCAACTGTTCAAAGTTTTGTTTTTTTATTTTATTTTTATAATTCTGCATAAACAATATTATATGGGATCTTCTTCAACATCTAGTGCTATGAGGATAGTACCTTAAATATTTTATAATACATAGGAGTAATGACAGTTATAATAATATAAGGAGACCCTTTTATGATTCATCCCATTTCATATTTTTTTTCATTCCCCACTTAAATTAAACTTGTCCCACATCTTCATAATGTTCTTTGATTTTTACAGTAACTTCATTGGATCCCTCTTCATGGTTAAAAATTATTACATAAGCTAGTAATTACTGTCATTAACCTTCCTGCTTCCACTCAAGGATAAAATTTCTCCTAGTTCCCACCCTTTTGAGCTTTTGCAATGCAAAATCCATCTTTTTCAAGTCCCCTAACTAGCTGGTTATCTGCAATTCTGGTTAACTTCCAATGAAAAATGGTCAAAATTTCTGATATTTTCAACAAAATAACCTTATCCCTTGAGGGGACAAAACCCCAGAGTTTGAAATTGTTCAAAATATAGCTACATAGTGTTGTCCCATTACTTATCCTCATGAAACTATGTGATTCCGCTTTCATAGTTTTATGATTCGAATCTCAAATATGTTTAATTATCTCTTAAACATAACTACATGAATCGAGTTAAACTTTGAATTCTCTCCCATGTTCATTCAGATCAGGAGCCCTTGTAGTTGTTTAATTTTGTTTCTGTCAGTCTGATATGTACCTAATCATTCTTTTAGACTAGTTCAATTTAATAGCACAACCACTACCATATTGGATTTCTATCGGATTGTACTAGAAAGATGATGAAGTTTATCTTGATTACTAGACTGCAGTTTAGATTCAGATATGTATGTATGTATACATGCATGTATGTATGCATGCATGTATGTATTACATGCGATATTCATATAACATTGGACACTTTCAACTTTACATTTTTTCTCCATAATGTTCCATCAAACAGGCGATTAGAATAGTATCATAAATATTGGGGGGGGGCGGCAGGAAAAGGGATTGGGTATTGGCTTCATGTTATTTTCAAAACACAAATGCTCCATTACAATAAAATGCAACACTTTATTCGTTTTGTCTTGTATGCATACATGTTTTTCAATGGCATGTTGCAGATATTTTGCACCATTTAAGCTTAAAAGTAAATGCAAATATGTATATAGATAGAATCATTGTAGGCTAAAGGATGAACCATAAGGGCTAATGGTCTGTTTGGAAGCAAGAAAATCTGCCTTGATACACATATGATTACAAAATTCTTGTTTTATTAGTTGGTTCAATGTTATTTAAGGTTTGAACCAGTTTTAGCACGATCGATAATGGTGTAACATATAAGAGGACGTGAGTTTGAGCGTGCTAAGTGCACAATTTCCTTGGATTTTTAAGTGAGAAGTCATTTAGACATTGTATAAAAAACCTAATTAAAGTTTCATAGTGATTTCTAATCATGGAAAGGTTAAAAAATTTCTAAAATGTGATTTAGTTTCGAGTTGACTGTTCATGAATAGTTAGATTCGGACTTGAAATTTTTATTATCAAGGAATTTATATTATCACTTTATCATCTTTAGATTCTTTTTATGATCAACGGACAAAAAAGATATGATTTGATCGGCTATTATTTTATTTTAGAAAGTAACTTTTAGAATATTAGATATGCATAAAATCTTTTTTAATAATATATTCAGTTCAACCTTAGCATTTTCTTCTTTTCCAAGCAAGTTGAAAGACCCTAAAACCATTTCCAAGTAACCTAAAAACAAATAGGCAAGAAGCATGAACTTGCCTCTTTTCTCTCTTTTCATAAGACCCTACCTTCTGTCCTGGCCTCATGGTAGGTTTTCTTGAAGGGTTCTTAAAGTTGTACCAGGTTTGACAAGGGTTTAAGATAGCTCGATCGTATTAGTCGACCGAAGCTTGAAGGTGAAGTCGAATTCGACCTACCGATAAATTCCTTACAAACAGACTCAAAAGATTAATTGTTCCACCCCCCATCTCTGAGTTGAAAAACAAGTTTCCTTGATACATATAGCTTATGCTTTTGCTGTCTCAGCAGAACTGGCATTGACCCTGAGTTTCACCCCCATCAACCAAATGGTCATCCAATTTTTAGGATGTTATCAATTTAGTCATTCAAAAAAACTTTGCAATTAAGTCATCTAACATTTGGAACATTACCAATTTAGTCATCATTGTCAAAAGAATTTATTTTAATCACCGTCATTAAATCCGCTAATGACATCTGACTCAGCATGCAACCACCTTATGAGACGATGACATATGTCCTTTTATAACATAGTTTTCCTAGCCACTTCCCGGCTTATCCGCAGGCATGTACAAGAGCCAAACTCCATTCAACCCCTTTAAGAAAATGTAAGTTGATTTAACATCACGAGGTTGTGATGCAGGGATAAGATTTGAATTAAACCATTAAGGCTAGTTCATAGAAAAATTCTCAGGTGTCCTCAAACAAATAATTTAGATTCCTCCATGTCTTGATTTTGAGATGAACTGTCATACTTCAAGCTTTTTGTGACATCAAAGAAATGCGCAACGGCCTCTTCAGGAGTCCCGACTAAAACGCCATGACCCAGATTAAGAATGTGCCCACGCGGTCCTGCACACTTAACCACCCTGAAAACATAATGCACCAGTTTAAACTACTGGACCAATTCGAAGCATATTTTATAGTATAGATAAGAGCTGACAATATTATGAGGAAGTTCAAGCAGAGGGTTCAACTGATATGATCATATGACAAACCTTTGAATTCCCCGTCACTGCAGTAAGTGAAGAAAATAAGTAAGCGGGGTCGACATTTCCCTGCACACCGATATCACAACCCAAACGCTTTCGTCCATCGGCCATATCCACTGTCCAGTCAAGTCCAATCACATCAGCTCCAGTTCCTTTCATGCGCTCAAGAAGACCGCCGTTTCCGTTAATGTAGAGAACAAGGGGTGTTCTAGGGCATTTATTCTGTACTATGCTCACGATCTGCAATTTCAAGAACCCAATGAGTATAAGAGAGACATTAAAAGGTACAGAAACATGTTATCCAAGGAAAATTTTCTCAAACCACTTAATAGGAGTTGATTGCTAGTAGTAACTGGTAATAGAAGAGTCTCATCAAATGTATCTGTCTCCCCTTTTTTCTATATAATTTAAAAGAAGTAGAATTCTTCCTTAAAATAAATGAATTTTCAAAATTCATAACTTCATATGGCTTTGATGGTCAAAAAGCCAAATAAATGTTCAGGTTCAGAGAAAACGAATTTTGAAGAAGTCAAATAATTAAAATTTTAACTTTCAGTGATGACAACACTCGCCCTTGCGCTTTTATATCAAATCGTATACTCGATTGGCTTTACATTTTTGTCATTCACTCATTTTAATGAAATATGATTTTCTTTCACCTTATACCAATTCTTATCGTTTAATTAGCTTGAGGAAACAAATAATTAGCTCTGCAATTTCAGAGAAATGAGGTAAGAATGATTCATTAAGGTAATACAATGATGCTTTATCCAATCAACTAAGTTCCACATTACCTCTGTTATGTATGGCTTTGACCATTTCTCCCACATATCAGGTGGCAGTTGGCCGCCCCATGAATCGAATATTTGTATGCAATGTGCTCCAGACTCC